GAGCTCGTCCCGTGCAGCCACAGCCCTGGCTATTTCAGAAACCTTACTTGTATGTATGTATGTATGTATGTATGTATGTATGTATGTATGTATGTATGTATGTATGTATGTATGTAGGTGTGTGTATGTATATATCTATGTTGATATATATATATATATTATGCATATATAGATTTATGCATATACCTATACATGCATGCGTATATAAATAAATAAATAAACATAAATCTATATATATATATATATGTATATGAGTACAGATGTTTCTATGTATATGTGTATATATGTATAGGTATATCTTTGTCTATATATATATATATATGTATATCCAGTTAGACGTATGCATATACTATGATAATATAGATAGATAGACAGATAGATAGATAGGTAGAAAGATAGATAGATAAATAGGTAGATAGGTAGTCAGTTAGTTATATATGGGTGGTCGTCAAAACTATGGTCTCTGTTGGGGTTCATATTATAATACGGCACCTATTATTTAGGGTACCCCAAAAGGTACCATAATTTTGACAACTACCCATATAACCCTAAACCCTAAAACCTAAACCCTAAACCCTAAACCCTAAACCCATATGTATGGTTTGCATTATCAAGCTCTGGCCTCCGAGCTTGTCTCGCTGGCGGCATTCTCGGCATCTTCGGGCAGCGGCTCGGAAAATGCGAAGCGCGGCTTCGGGGGCTGCCTGAGGAGCAGTGGAGGGCCCAAATCAAGGTCCCTAAACCCCTGAAGTGGCTTAGGGGTTTAGGGTTTAGGGTTTAGGGTTTATAAACCTAAACCAGGTTAAAGGAAACTGCAGGTGGGGGGTTTAGGGTATATAGGGCTTCTATAAGGCTTCTATAAGGTATATAGACTATAGACCTTCTATAAGGCTCCTATAACGGCAACCACCCCCCTGAAAATGTCCTAGATGGAGGGCCCCCCAAATTAATAACCCTAAACCCTAAACCCTTAGCATACGACGTAGCCCGCGTAGGCACCCAGGTTTTATCCCGCCAGAGACCTTAAACCCTAAACCCTGAAACCTAAACCCCCTCAGCCCTAAACCCTAAGCGCCCTAAACCCCAAACACCCTAAACCCTAAACACCCTTAACCCCCGACCCCAAAAGGTTGCTTGTAGCAGAACATATCAACAGTATAGGCTCTTGCGGAGAAGAACCAGAGTACCGGAGTGCCACACCCCGAGGCTGTATTGAAAGGCATGGAAAACCGGAGCAAAAATGACTCCACGAACTCGAAGCCGAAAGCATGACTATTGCCATTTATGTCTAGGATCAATTAGTACCATGATCATTACGAATCATTACCATTATTGTCATTTTTACCATCTTTGTTGCTATGAGAAATCCCAACCCGGAAGTGCCCTTGCGCCTCTCTCGGCGCCCGGCGACATCCGCAGCCAGGGCCTTCCGAGGCTTGAGCCCGGAGACCACGAAGGGTTTCGAGTTTAGGTTTAAGGTTTAGGGTTTAGGTTTATGGGTTTAGGTTTAGGGTTTAGGGTTTAGAGTTTAGGTTTAGGGTTTAGGGTTTAGGGTTTAGGGACACTGCTCCTTCTCTGAGAGATAATATGGGTAGTTCTCTAAGTAAAGGATCCCGTTTTAGGGCACCTTTATATAAGGGTATAAGGGTGCCGTATGATTTAGGGGACCTCAACAGGGACCCTAATTTCGAGAACTTTGAATACCCATACTGGGGTTTTGGGGTTCAGCGCTTAGGGGATGTTGGGGTCGCTGGGAGGTGGTCGGTTTGGGACTGGAATGCGGAACGTGACGGGGACCTTGGGACAAGAGTCAACTCTCTATGACTATATGGGCATAGTGTTACCAACTATCCCGAACCCTTTTTTGCCCTTGTAGACGCCTGGTACAGCGCTGCAGACAAGATGAGTATTGCCCGAAACCCTAAATCCTGCGCCTAAACTAAACTTACAACCCCAAGCCCCAAACCTTCAAAACCCCAATCCCCAAACATCTCAGGCGCAGCATGATCATCATCCATCTTTAAGGTTTACGGTTCAGGATGAAAAATTGGCTCAAGTTTCAAGATTTAGGATGACTCCTACGGCAACGATAAACCCTAAACCCCTAAACCCCAAACCCTAAAACCCTAAACCCCAAAACCCCAAACCCCAATCAAACCCTAAACCCTAAACCCTAAACCCTAAACCCCAAAACCCCAAACCCCAATCAAACTCTAA